TATCAATTAAAAAAAAAAGTATTTAATATAATATTATTATCCAATTGAATAACAATTATCGTATAAGCTTTCAAGGTTTTTCCTGAAAAATAATTATTGCATATTAAGTGATACAAAAGACCGATCCGAATATGAAAATATTTAATTTGATGCGTCTTTAAAAGTAAAATATTTGATTTTTTTTCAAGATATTTTTTAATTTTGGAATGAGCAAAAGACAAAAATTATTAAATTTGTAAATATTGGAATTTTGAAATTTTTGATTTAAAAAAAGATATTTCGACGTTATAGTTGCCTCAATGCGTATCCGATATTTGATCCGGATATCCGGCGAATATCCGTGCTATATCTCCGGATGACGGATAGATGGAATGTAACTCTAGCAATAATAATGATAATATTTCAAAATCTCATCTCCTATTACTGATAACGATTGAAATAAATACGGATCAACATTCAATAAAGCGCCAATTGTGTAAAAGACTTCACTCAGAACAGATATCCTTATATATAATTAGCGCAATTTCATTGGTGGTTCAAGACGTATCGAAACTATATTACTATAGCATATGTATTATTTCCTAGATTCTTAGGCATCATAAAACAAGCGCTTTAGTCGTAGAAATAAATATCGACGAATTGCCAATCCGTTTAAAATCAGCACTATCATGAATTTGATGATTGCACAATGCAAACTCCCCATTTACCATAATAAATGTGCAGCTTTTTTTGCTTGTCCTATTTTTTAACAATTTTAATATTTATAAACCTACCACATCTGACACGCGTACAATTTAAACTCCTTTTTTACAATAATAAATATGCGACTTTTTAGTTTATTTTTTTTAAATAAGATTTTACAATAGTGTTTGTGTATTTATTTGTTAATTGACTGCGAAACGTTCGATTTGTAATGTAATGCCGGAATTATCTAGTGAATTTGGGGCGCAGTATTATATTATATAAATTTTTATGGTATTTTTATTAACTGCGGTCCGGAATGACGTTAAATTATCAGATAAGTTCAATTAAAAGTTACATTTTAGTATTATAACTCCTGTCACATGAGTATAAACTGGAACGTGATTAGATCTACAAATTAGTCATGTGAATGAAAACGAGGCTTGGTAGAAATATTATTTGAATAGACTACTAATTAAAGAAAAATGATCAACGTTCATAAGAATTATAAAAGAGAGAGGTAACCAGTAATTAAAGAGGGCAATATATTTTCCTATTTTACCCATTATATTATTTTTCGATTCTTTTGCCTTTTCCTTATGATGAAAAAGTGCCACATTAATTAATTTTAATGGTCGATAGAGCGTATATGAGGGGAAACAATCGAAGTTTAATTCTAAGATTTATTTTGATAGAATAGTGTAGTATGATTATTTTGTATATAATAGATGATTTATTATCAAATAAAGGAACATTTTTGTCTTGAGCGCTACAGTAATAGCGCCGATCTTAGATGGATCAGTGATTAAAGGATTAACGTTATTCGTTCAAAAAATACTTCGTTAGTTATACGAAGGTTTTTGATATGAAGAGATTAAGTTGGGCTCTTTTAGAGTGTTTTCTTAATTTCATATGTATTTCTAAATTTACGATGTAATTTGGTTTTTTTTAAATACAATTACTAATAAAGAAATACGTTTATCGAAAAAAAAAAAATATTCGTTCAAAAATCGTTTTTTCTGTGTGAACTTGTGAAACATCAAATTATGTAAAAGAGAAAGCTCTTCAACCTCAAGTAATTCATTATATATATATGATATTTGTAACTTGTCAAACGAAACCTATAATTTACTCCTTCAGTTCTCTTTATTGTAAATTATAATACATCTACAATTAAATTAGCGAGAAATTATTGCTGCGTTGTATTTGTTCGGCTAGATTTTTGCTGATAAAAATGTAAAAAAATAAAGTTGATTTTTATTCCATAACGTTTTTAAAAATGTTTGAATGATCAGAATGATCCTTGATTTCACAAATAAAAAATAGCTCTCCATGATAAATCCGTCATAAATTTACATTTTACGTTCTTACCAGGCTGTGATTTCAAAGAAATTTGTGAAAAAATACTAAGCAGGGAATAAAACACATTTACTACGAATGGTTTTTCGGACAATTCCATAATATTTCGGTGATCAGTTACTTTGAGTAATTTAATTCAGAATTTTTACATTAAACCCTTCTCTTAAAATAGCTACTAAAGAATCATTGAGTTTTCTATTATCCCTTAAACGGTAAGCAATTGTACCCGCAATTTTACTGAAAATCCAACTCTCATCTAATTTATGAAAAATAAAGTTATATTAACAAAATTATTTTCCATAATAACTTAAATCATATATTATACAGCAAACATTATCATTTATATATTAGAAAATCGAAAATTATCCATTAGTCAAAAGTTGCATTTTTAACATAATCAACAAAATTTAAAAAATTTTGTAATTTCACTTTGACGATTTTATTGAATATGTAGAATTTGTTATGAGGAAAAATTTTTATTATTATGTTTAGAAGTAGAATTTTAACTTTATACAGAGCTTTGATAAAAATCTTATTTTTTATCTCTAATTTGTTCATTATATTATATAAAATTTTCATAAAAAAAAAAAGTCATTAAAGTAGTGAGAAAAGTTTAGATTTATTATATAATTAATGATCAGCGGTCAGAATGCAAGTCAATTTGGCTGCTTATATTAACAAACTTTATATTTGAGTACAATTTATTTTTAGAAATTGCGGGCAAATTGCACGCCAACCGTTTCAGGGGATTATCATTCCAAGTGGATAGTATTATTTATTTATTTTACGTAATTAGGAAGTGAGAAGATTGAACGTATCCGCGGATTTGACCGGATAATTGGTCAATTTCTCATAATAAAAAATTTTTTTATTAAAAAAAAAAAAAAAAATCAGAATTCAAAGTGTAAATGATTAAAAAGTGAAGCAGACGGGTGAAATGATTTTATAAGAAATTGTTCATATATTCGATAGTTTATAAATGAAAATGATTGGCCGGAGACTGAGAAAAAGTTTGAGAGTCAGGTTAAACTAGTTCAAGCAGACAAACAAAGCAGACAAACAAAGCAGGAATTTTAAAAGAGATGACTAGCAAGTTGAATTCATTTCCAACAGGAGGTCTATAGTCATCCTACCTTAAAACTTTAGAAAATACCGACACAACTATCAAATCTATTTACGAATTTTCACATAAAAAAGCGAAAATAAAATTTTTTTTTTTTTGCACGATCAAGTATTTTCTACTGTTGTAATAAACAAATACCTTCTACATAACAATACCCGTACTAATCATACGATTGTATGATTCTGTTTTTTCCAAAAAGTACTTTTAATTTCGTTATATAATTTTAGTTGGATCACCAAATGTACGGAATGATCGTTCTATTTTAAGAATTTTAAGATTAAATTACAGTAATACTGTACTTGCGTTTAAAATAAAAATTAAAATAAATTTGGTAAAATCGGTAGATCCAAATAATGAAAATAATATCATTAAAAAAAAAAATCTGAACCAAAAAAAGTATTTTTATTTAATAATTTCGGCTGAAATTAATTATTTAAACTTTTTAATATCATAATATTAACTAATCAAAAACTTATTCAAATATGGATTAATATTACGCCATACGAGAAAGAAATTTTTGCAATCATCATATTTTTTTTTTTTTTTT